TTTTTGAGTGAGTGGGATAACTTGAGTGGGATTGAGACCTTGGGGAGCCTATCACAGGTTTACTGAACAGCCCCTTGAAAGAGGTGAATTTGCATGCAGGCGGGGCTGGGAGCAAGCAAACAAAAATCAAACTCACTGCTGTCCAGTCAGCCCTGCAGGATGGAGTAGAAGTGCCCCTGTGGATGTCTAAGGCTGTAAATCTTCACAGGTCTAGAAAGCCTCATCGCTCTCCTAAGAAGTAGCTAGCGGGTTTGAACTTCTAGCTTTGCGGTTAGCAGCCCCAAACCACAAAACTCCTGCTGGCCCACAATCACAAATCTCACTCTAAAGAAATCATTGTTACTACTATCATCTACCCAGCGGTTCTCAATCTGTGGGTCGCGACCCTGTTGGAGGTCAAATAACCCTTTCACAGGGGTCGCCTGATTCATCACAGTAGCAAAAATGACAGCTATGAGGTAGCAGCAAAAATAATTTTATGGTTGGGAGGGTCACCACTGCCAGGAGAAGCCAGGTTCTAGCACAATCACTACGGGTTCGGTAGGCGCAATTGTACAGCGATAATAAGTAAAGATTATAGTAAAGTTATAGAGAGCATGAGAGATAAAAGAGATACACAGAAATAAATGGAGTCAGACATGTTAAATGGCAGCATTGCTCACCTCAGCCCCGCTTGATGGAGGGAGCGAGGGAAAGGGAACAAGGGAGAGAGGTCCAGCTAGGAGATGGGGAAGAGAGGGGAGCGACCTGGGGTGGGGGGGGGAACTTTAATGCTTCCCAAGCTTTTTTATTCTCTGGGGATGTTGGGGATGTGCAAGCCCCCTCATTACAGGGGAAGACATACGTCACAGGAAAGGGTTGTGCTATAGGTATTGCAGTAATGAGAGGGGGTGATCTAGGGGTATACACGCAATAGGAAGAGGAGGGATTGGGGGTATACACGTGGCAAGATGGATGGGTCTTAGATACTTTGAATATCACAGAGCCGGTTTGGCAGTTCCTGGCCCAACTGATAGAGACCATTAGCAGTAGGATGTGAATGAACTCCGCTTACAGGAGCCTGTCCATTGTGCCCAGCAGCAGGGAGCAGGCCCAGTGCAGTCCAGCAACAGATCGCCGAGGGCGGGCGGAATGCCTGCACATCTGACCTCCTCACACACCACCACATGAGGAACTGTACTAAAGGGTCAGGCAGCTTTAGGAAGGTTGAGAACCACTTAACGCACCTGGGAAGAAAACCTGTCAATTGGCTTCCCCAAAATCAGTCATTGAAAGCCCTATGGAGTTTAAAACGTATGATTGTACAACTCTTCTTGGTGTGGTTGAACTATTGAATTGTATGGTATGTAAATTATATACCAGTAAAACTACTAGGGGAGGGGGGGAGAAACCCTTACGGAGCACAGGTCTATGACAGACAGGATGTCATTATGAGTCAACCCGGTGGTATTCGATGGTGATGGAACAGCGATTGACCTTGAACTTGGTGCCAGGCAATTTTCTCAGTTCTTCAGGTTCCTCAGGGTAACCAGATGAAGTCTGGCTTATCCTCATTTTAGAGCAGAGAACACTGGTGCGCAGAGAGGCCAGAGAACTTCCTAAAGTTGCACAGTTCTTTACCCGGGGCTGCCCGGGCACCTTGGTCCTGGGTGTTTTCCACTGAAACAAACTCACTGCCATCAAGTTGATCCCCCTCGTAACAACCCTATAGGACAAGGTAGAGCTGCCCTGTGTTGCTTGTTAACTGTTTTATTGACACATACCATACAACTCAATAGTTCAGTCATATCAAGAAGAGTTGTGCAATCGTTACCACACTCAAGTTTAGAACATTT